TAAAAATGCTCCTGAGTCATAAGTTTGCAATCAAAGGGAAATAAATCTAGCAATTTTGAACTACACGATACCACATTTTAGAGTCTTGTTAGAAAGCGTCAAGCGGTAAAAGTCCTTTGAAATAAAATCTGATGGTGGTATATCAAATAAATCCTTCTATTGATTGTTGTTTGCTAAACGTCTAGAAACAAATATTCCATGCATATCCAGGACGAGTGCAAACAACCCCAATAAATCCTACACATGAAAAGGATAAGACATTTGAACTGCTCCTGGGAAATTGAGGTACATGTTTATTGAATAGGGGCAGATATTTTTACCTTTCAACAGGCTACCTACGGATCCATCAGTGAGCTGATATAAGGTGGTTTAACTTGCAGAGAACGATACACAAGACATCGGATGTAGCGTTCTCATTCCGATCAGACAGGTATGCGTATTTATACACTCTTAACAGCCAAACGGATGCACCATTCATGGAGCCATGGTACAATGTATTTTAAGGATTTCAGCAACATCACCATCTCATAAATTTTTTTCAAGTCAATTTTCGAATCGGAAATCTTCAATAAACAGTACAATTTAAATGCAGCACCCGTGATGGCATTCATATCTTCAATCAATTTTTTATTGCGAAAAGGAGTCATCAGAAGACTCAAATTGACGCATTTGTCGTCATATTTATCATATTCTAGGAAATTATATGTCAATATAGTTGTTTCTTTTCATTCGTTTTGTTTCTTTATCTAACGTGTTTATAACCACCACTCGCACTAACTGATTATATTGTTTCAGTTCATCCGACATCCGTTCGTTTGTGTATACACTCCCCAATCAAAATCAGCGGCTGCTTTCAGGGAAATTTTATGGAGATACGGTATGATTTCCAAAGACACAACTATCCCCCAAGATCAAAAAGGCACTGAAGCATGTAATCGATTACAGGTCACTGTACGACCTTAAACAATGAGCAAAACTCGTACTGTATAGTAAACCTTAAGAGGTCCCTAGATGACAAAATGTAACATAATTAAAAAGTAAAACCAACGGCCTGATTTATATTAAAACAAATCATAACGAAATACAATTATGCCAGACAGTAACTAACGACAACCAATGAATCACAGGCTTCAGACTTGAGACAGGCACATAAAGAATGTGGCGGGGTTAAACAAGCAAGTTATGATTATGATAGTATGCTGTACATAACAAGAACATAAACTAGTTCAAAATGTCTGTCTGTCCTCATCTTTGAGTTTCTTAAAACAAGTCACATTTTTGTGTACCTCGGAAATATCTTGTAAGTATAAGAAATATGACAAATAGAAATAAAAGTTGTGCTGTTTTTATTCTCTTTTACTATTTCTTAATTAATATCTTATCCAGATTAAAATTATTTAAATATTTGAAATGGTTGAACCTAGTTTTTATAATTAATATATGTTTACTTTGTTTATAAACCAATTATTGGGAAGCCCGAAAGTAAATAGGTAAACATTGAATTATTCCCCTTTCACCACCAAGAAAAAAAAAACAATTTAAGTTTCTATGGTGGTTTATATTGATTTAAAATTATTTTTTTTGATGAGAAGGGTGTTAAAAAATGGTTTCTGACTTTTAATCTAAAAAATTGAAAACGATTATGAAATTCTAAATATTTTTTTTTGTGAATGTAAGATCGTTTGCAAAAAAACAACAAAATCAAAATGTTTAAAAATATTAACGCGTCACTATGTGCTTAGATCAGTTGTCTAATGCGTAGCCTTTATTTCAATAAAGTTCCTTCCTTCCTTACTTACTTAATTGACTATGTTCATAATTGCATTGTTTTAGTGACACCTCTGAAATATCTGTACAGCTTAGTACTTTAAATGACTACTTATCCGACATTCGTGATGAATTCTGGTGCGAGTTACTATGTATAAACCAGATCACCTTTAGTGCTTTCGTTGGTTCTTTAGCTGATGAAGATTTCTGTTAGCTGTTACTGTCATGCGATACCGAATTTGAACTAGACTACGTTTACAAATTTTACAAAACATTTTCTCTCTCCTAATTGACAATGTGAAATATAAAATTGAGAATGGAAATGGGGAATATGTCAAAGAGACAACAACCCGACCAAAGGTGGTCCTCAGCTGGCCCCTAAATAAAATTGTGTGCTAGTTCAGTGAAAATGGACGTCACACTAAACTCCAAAACATATAAATGAACTAAAATTAAAAAAACATACACTTCAAGTTTAAAATATTTTCTCTTTTTTCAATCGTTCAAACTTGTATATTGTGTTATTCGTTATTTATTATTTAATTGTATCACTATCTCTCCTAACGGAGGCTAAATAAAGATATATCAAGGGCAAATGAATTTTAAGTCGAAGAGGAAAACGCAAATAAGTGCTAGTAAAAAGAAAACAATCCACAAGAAGACATGTCACCTTGCCCGGTCACGTTATTCTGATTTCGAACCAACTAGTTCATTCACTTTGAAATAAAATCAAGTGTTTAAATTCTATGAAACTTACAACTACATATACAATTACTGTATACTATAATGTTTTCTCACACTGCATTCATACAAACAAATCATTTACAAGAAAAACGCTTAAGGCAGTGTTAATTAAAAAAAAGCCAATATTCATCAGATTTTATTTTATTATAAAGTAGATTTAGATATAAATGGTCGTTCAAATATATATCACACTCTAGATATATAAACTGAAATCGCCTTGATCTCCAGATTTCAATAAAACACAATTCAAATTCAAACTGAACAACAAAATCAACTGAAAAAAAGAGGCAAACTGCAAAACTACAAATGAAGCAACGTACGACATTTTCTATCACGACCAGGTTGAGAATGAATTCAAACACTAAAGAGCCTATCGAAAACTAAACCCGTATCTGTTATCGACATCGTTAAAAATGAATGCCGCACAATGGGCAAAATTTCCGTAAGAAGTCAGTAAGAATAAAAACCGTGAGATATCCAGTACCTAAATTTATGCAAATAACGTTCCACGGAATACTGTCGTTGATTTCGAGAACTTGTTTATTTCAGATAACGAAACCTTAAATCGAAGATCTTGTTGCCTGGGTAACATAATTGGTTTTAAACAATCCTAATACAAAAGACTCCATCTACAGCAACCACAGCAGGATATCAGGTTCGATTTTTTCTATTACCGTTCAATTATTTTCTAGAGTGTCCAAGTATGTCGTCTCTATATGCAGTTTATATTACTTCAAAAGGAGCAAATGGTATAAATCCTAATACATTTGGAACCAGTCATAAGTTTAATTGTATAAAGAAACAGAATGGACCAGCTTCGTATTATAGAAGAGTTTATGATGCTAACTGAAACAGGGCTAGGTAGTCGTTGCAAATAATAAGTTGGGAAATACGAGAATATATGACGTCTCTTGGATTTCTTATTTTTTTTCTTTCGTTGTTAAAAATTTGAAATTTAGAATAAATATCAAAATGGAACCGTAATTTTCTTAAATATTGTAATGACCGTATCCAAACCATAACTGGGTCTTACCAGAGGTAGATCCATTGAGTCCTTTGAGAGGTTTAGCGAGCGTTACAACCAATTTTAAATCACCATTTTCTACATAAGGAAATGCCTGTAACAAGTCAGGAATATGACAGTTGTTTTCAATTCGTTTGATGTGTTTGAGCTTTTTGCCATTTGATAAAGTACTTTCCGTTTTGAATTTTCCTTGGAGTTCGGTATTTTTGTTATTTTACATATTGAGTAGACGGACTTCAACATATACCCCCTCCTCTCAGAATACCTTGGTGTATAGAAATATGCCCAAGTTTCTTTGTCGGTCTGACTGAATGATATCTGGGACATAATATGATAGTCCCAGATTATATATTATATAAACATTCACAGTAACTTCCGTTCGAAATTATGACGGAAATGTTATTCCTCCTGTACAGATGGTATGATCTTTCTGTTAGTTAAAATTCCCTTCGTTAACAACTTTTCAGGCGCTTATAATGGCAAAAGTGTGCCCCTAACCAACAAGTCAACATGTTCCGGTGCCAATCCAAATTACCCACACTTCATCATTGTCAAAACATGCCTATCTATATTCTGGTAGGAGACCATTTACATGCCTGCAATTGTTTGCACCTGTCATAAGTCTCTGATGATCAGTAGTTGTCGTTTGTTAATGTGGTTCATAAGTGTTTCTCGTTTCTCGTTTTTTATATAGATTAGACCGTTGGTTTTCCCGTTTGAATGGTTTTACACTAGTAATTTTTGGGGCCATTTATAGCTTGCTGTTCGGTGTGAGCCAAGGCTCCGTGTTGAAGACCGTACTTTGACCTATATTGGTTTACTTTTATAAATTTTGACTTGGATGGAGAGTTGTCTCATTGGCACTCATACCACATCTACTTATATCTATCTATTACGGGACGACCATTTACTATGCTGTTAGATGGGGTTCGAAAATTTTGAAATTGAATAGTAGGAGCTGAAAATAAATAATCTGGCCAAAAACAGAGTAAAAGTGAATATTTTACCCATCAAAATGCAGGGTATTATTGTGTAAAAAAGTGGGAAAATAAATAAAGACTCGCAAAGGTTGATAAATATACAATCCAAACAAAATCCTCTGGGCCCCCCTCTCCCTCTCCAGAATATCAATCGGTAGTCCCACAGACTGTTTTGTACTTAGTAAACCAACCGAAACCGACGGGTAATTGTGATATACATGTAATACCCGATAACAGGCCGAATAGGATGATCATAAACCGACTTCTTTGTTAAATTTTGCTGTTGATATAAAAATAAGAAGATGTGGTATGATTGCCAATGAGACAACTCTCCACAAGAGACCAAATGACACAGAAATTAACAACTTTCGGTCACCGTACAGCCTTCAACAATTAGCAAAACCCATACCGCATAGTTGGTTTGTTTAAGTTTTTCCCCACACCTTCGTATATTAACAAAGCTGCAAGTAATAAAGAAAACTCAGTATAGAGAATTTTTTTTATCAAAAATACAAATGCACTGTAAAAAGTAATAAACAATTCAATGACAAGTTTCTGATAGAAATAGTTAACGTCCCCTGTACCGCCTCATACATGCTTGATCGACTCTACACCGACAACGTCCTGGCACTTTTCTTTCACAAATTCCTGCACAACCTGCACACGTGGGTCTCAGAACTCTTCTTATTACCTTCCACCATCTACCGGCTTCAGCTAAAGGTGGATTATTCGAACACAGTTGCTACAACAGAAGAACACATATTTACTAGGAGATTTACCTTTAAAGGGTTCTGTTTTATACAGTTTAAACATTATTTTGTAATATTTATTAATAACATTGAGAATGGAAATGGGGAATGTGTCAAGCAAACAACAACCCGACCAAAGAGCCAAAAACAGCCCAAGACCACCAATGGGTCTTCAACACAGCGACAAAATCCCGCAACCGGAAGCGGGCTTCGGCTGGCCCCTAAACAAAACTGTGTACTAGTTCAGTGCAAATGGACGTCAGACTAAACTCCGAAACATATAAATGAACTAAAATTAAAAAAAAAAAACATATAGGACTTGGGACAGGCGCAAACATACGGCGTTTAAGATGAATTTTATTTATTCATTATTTTATATTTTGCAACCGTAGGCCTAAAATGTCACTGCAGATTAAATGATAGTGATCCTCAACCTTGAGAGCAGGTCAGTAAGGGGCTGTATATAATAGCTGCAAGAACGCATGTTGTGCTCCGGTCCAAATAACCCCTATACCTTCCCATAAACACATACATACACTCAAAAGTAAAACCGCTGTCGTTATACTGATAATATTTAATCATATTAACACATGATTAAAATTATTTATACTGAGTGTGCACCTTTACCTTTTATTCATTGCCTTTCCTTCAAAATGTGTATATTGAACTGTTGGTAAAATTAAAAAAAAAAAGAAAGACAAAAGCAATCCCCTTCCCCTCTATCTCACAGTCATGTGCTTGTTAATAGTAGACGGAGGGTTGAGATCTTTTAAAAATCTAGTTTCTTCCTGTCGCATTTTCATGTGACGTCACAAGTCAGAAACCTCTAATAGTTATCGCATGTCAAATGTAATGGAAAATTGGATGCAAATGGCGGATCTTTGATTGTTTCTGTCAAATTAAATTAAACTCTTAGACTTTTTTTTCATTTAGAGCTTGACATACTGTATGCCGACTTACTCATGAACCAGATAAGGACTTATAATTTGAGTTGGTAAAGGAAAGGAAAAATAAGTTTACTAATCGATAAACACAGGAAAAACTTTTATTTTCATTTTTAATTCCAATGAAAAGGACTCAAAATTATTTGAAAATGAAAAATAATCACCAACTTTCTGCACTTTTATATGAAATTTGGAATAGTAAAAAATAGTGTGGAAATTAAGGGAAAAAGAGTCTATCTCTCGAAACTTTTCAATCATCTTGAATTCTAATCAATTGAGATTTCTGGATCGAACGAGGGACTCCGAAGAACAATAGATACATTTGATATAGTGCAAATAACGAGATTAAATAGTATGTATACTTACCATAGATATGAAGGTTAATACGAAGAAAGCCAACTTGAGATGTGAAGAATTCATGGTGTATTTCTGAAATATGAAAAATATATGGTCTGAATATTAAATTGTTAATTCAATGATGCTTTGGAGTCTAAATACAAGTCATAGTTTTTGCCACTAAATTTAATGTTAAGTTCGTAAAGAAAAAACATAATTTGATGCTTCCGAGGTGCCAAAAAAAAAATTCAGAATGTATAGAACCATAACCTCCACTCAAAATTTAGTTTTCGTTCCCTTAGGATTTTTCAGTATATACGGATATGGATAGTAAATTGCTATTTTGGTGCCAACGTTAATAATTTAATACAAAAAGTCAGTAAATTTGAAAATCAAATAAAAGTACAATGAATAAAAAGTGTATATATATCCGCTAATCAAGTCCCGTGCCTATGGTTAGTCCAAAACGAAACATGCATCAAACCAACACCCCCCTTTTATTAATCTTATGATGTACACTTACCTTAGTAATGATTTTGCAAGAATCTGCTTTACTATCATCCGCTCTTCGACTTCACTATTTATATATGCATAACCGGAGCTGACATAGAAAAACAAACTTTCCACCGATACTATTTATAGCGAGGATGGCCACTAAGTAAAAGCTTTCAAGAAATTTTGTTTACTGTTTACCGCGTTACTTTTCTAAGTATAACTACTGGAATTCTACGAAAAGTGAGGTGCTTAGAATAAACAAGAATGACCAGTTTGCAGATTACTTCACAAATTTAGGTCAAAGAAGAGTGACCAGTTCTACGAAGTCCTAGTTTTATTAAAAGATAAAAGTTATATGATGCATCGACCTTTGGTTAAATGTTAACAAATATTATTGTAAACAGGTGCAAATGCTATAAATAACATCGTGACCTTTTACCTCTTGACCATGGAGAAGGTAAAATTTTCTGTCGATTAAACACATACAGTGTACATCTATATCAGAATATATAATTATGCAATGGTTCTTTCATAATTGTACTTACAAGCAATTATGTATCGTTTTCTCATTGTTATCACATATATTAAACGATCCCATTGAGGTATAGAAATCTCCCAACAGTTCAACCCATGCCAGAGAGGGGTGTACGTTTGACAGTGCGGGATGTATGAACAATTCCATCTGGTCGGAATGGACATTAAATCAGATTCTTCATATATGGAGCTTACTATTAAGCTATCTTTCTACACGTAAAGAGAATCCTTGACTCTTTAGGGGATTGCGTGTTGCAAGGAAAAATGTTTGCCTCTTACCAACGTTCTAAAATTCCCCGCCTTCATCGACACCCTTTCAAACCTACCTATTGAATTAATTGTTTATTTGATCTCATTTATGAAAATGCATGAAAGCCCAAAGATGCATAAAGGTTGTAAAATGTGTTGTATCAACTCAGTGGGAAATTTTGTGAATGAGAACAAAAGAAAATTGACACTTCTGATGACAGAGTCGAGAAAATCAAAAATAAAATAGTGCCGGTGACGATCAAAAGTTATTTCTAAATAACAATTGTACATTTAAAATAAATTATTTGTTAAACTGTTAGAAATATACATATAAATACACGTTGTTTTATGTTCAGTATTTATCGAGATATTTGCATTAGAAGCTTGTGAAACTAAAATCTAAAAAGTGTTAATCTTTGCTGCATATTAATAAAAATAATTGAAAAAAATCATGTACATACAAAATCTAAAGATCTTTCGGGTCACACATTTTTAGAGTGTTACACAAAGTGCTTTGCATGTTACAATTTCCCAAAATATACTTATTTTTTCACATCTAAGTTTTCGAGTACACCGGTCTGTTCTTGTCACATGAACATTCAATATAGAAATATTGGCGTTTCGTGAATATAACAATTTAAAAGTCTGCCTGTGCAGGTTTAAAAACTAAAGATAAATATTTTTATAAAGTAGGTATCTTTTTACTACTTTTTTATACCATTTTAAGAAAAGGCTGTCTCGATTTTTTTTACATGTATTTGCGGTCTTATCGATCTTTGTACATTCAATAATTACATCGGGATAATGTCCGTTTTTAATTTTGCTTAGTAACTTAATTTCAAAAGTGTTAATCTTTGCTGCATATCAATCGATTCCTTTTGAATTTTTTCCCTGACTTTCTCTGATGTAGCTGCATATACATACGGACAATTAGCATATTCCAGAGAGGTATACAGCCAGTAAAAAAAAAAAATTGAAGTTGATACTCCAGGAATTTATTCGCAAAGCAACATTTTAAATCAATGTTACATCAAGTTCCTTTTTAAGCAAATTTGTCCGATATTGGTTATTATCTTGAAAAATATTACAGATAAGTGATTCAGGCTCTTGGAAGCCTCTTGTTTAATGGGTTATTTTTTTTAATTCTTGAATGATTTCTACCTGTCTTACTTTATTTCGGTCAATTTGTATTGTAAAAACTCATGCTCAGAATCATGACGTTGAAGTGGTTTTACCTTGACTACTCATAGTTGTTACGTGCACATGACAGAGGGTCTTGATTTGGAGGGGGGTTCATGTTATTTTATTAGATAATTTTTCTCTATTCTTTTTTTCATTTTGACCATTATTTTCTATTCTTTAAAGTTTAGCACCCAATTATTCTCTATTCTTTATTTTTCATTCTATTTTCTCTATTCTTTTTTTTTTGCAATTTATTCTGCACTTTTTGCCCATTATCCTGTATGCCGTAAACCCCATCCAGACCCTCATGCCAGATTATTGTTTGACGTAGACGACAGGTTTTGTTTAATTCATTCTGTACCCTTCATTTTGTTACATGCTTTTCAGATCAACAGTATGAGGACTATTATTATTGGAGTTGTGCTTCTCTTGAAAGCTGTATGGTCGATGAAAACGTTAGATGGAAAACTACCAACACTAAACGGAAATGGATTACCGTTAAATATTGATATAGATGTTTCTGAGTTTAACACAAGATTTGCCGACATTGTTAACAACGCCATACCCGAAGAAATATCAAGTAATTCAAGAATTGTGTATACTTATTTTGAGGATTCTAAACATACTGATTGATATTTTAGTCTAAAATACATCATTGAGGATTCTAAACATACTGATTGCTATGTTAGTCTAAGATACATCATTTCTTTATTAGTAGTTATTTGCTTTGTTATTCTGCTGTTCTGTTACACCACTGTCCCAAGTTTGGGGAGGGTTGGGCGCCAGTAATTATGTTTAACCCCGCAACATTTGCTAGGCGCGTGTACCAAGTCAGGAGTCTGTAAATGTTCTCGTTTGAATTGTTTTACATTTGTTATTTCGGGGTCTTTTATATTTTGCGTATGCAGTATGAATTTTTATGCATGAATGTACTTAGGTGAAATTAAAAAAAATCTAGAATTTAAAATTGATACTATAAGTCGGAAGAGCATTAGTTAAGGAACAAAATAAGCTAAAAATATTGATAGGTTATGGAGCTCCTTTTCGAGATATTTATTTTATTTCTAAATGGCGGGAAATGGCTGACTCGGACTTTTACCTTATATTTGCATTGGTATTATTTGGGTCTCAAATCGAAAGAAAAGAAATCTAGAATCTGCTTAAATTTTGGTAAACGACCTTTTATGAGCTATTGAAGTCTTGTATGAAAAGAAAAATGGGTGTTATGGGACAAAATATTTTACCCTGTATTGTCGGAAAAAAAAACCAAGGAGTCCGAACATCTGACACAGATTCCTAAACCTGACCTAAGGGACCGTTCAATATTTATCAGAGGGATGGGCCGGTGCATTCTTAATATTGTTTAATTTAAAATGTTGATGCCCATCCTTTTAAATTCTACAAAAAAGTGCTTGCCCATCTCAAAAATTGTATAAAAAAGAGCTTGCCCCTCTAAAACTTAAAGACAATCAATAATGATTTAGGTTCTTTTTCAATTCTAATGTTTGCATGTAACTTTATTTCTGGAAATCAAAGAATAGACTTTGGTGTAACACAAAATACAAAATGTGCTTGTTAATTCCATATATTGTTGTTTAAATCCAGTATGAATATACATGTATAGATTTGATTTTATCTGAAGTGCAGCCTGATACAATATACATATAAACATCACAATTACATCTCAATACATAAGTAATAGTATACTATATCAGCAAGCCTTTAATAAAGGCTTAAGAAGTGCTAACAATATTCATACAAGTCATAAACATATGAAGAAATATGAACCATACTATTAAATGTGCTAAGTTTATATTTATTGTGAAATCTGGGGTCTTTTTCAATTTGAAACAGTTTAGTGTATCTCTTTTTAAGTCTTTGTTCTATTAAATAATTGCATAAGTTGTAGTTTTTAATGTTAAAAGCAGAATTATCATTTAAAAGTAGCAATGTCTGTAATATATCATACCTTGTATAGTCATATATATTTGGAAAACATTAATAAGCAGGAGTTGTTTCCCCTTTTCAAGAGCAACAATGATTGATTCACATCTACATCATTAAAATCTGTATATTTGTTATTAATAGTGCTAGGTTTAGTCTGCAAATATTGTTTCATCTATCAATATCAAATTGAATTCAGAACATAGTTTAGACAAGACTAAAACATGTGAAACTCATCAATGATCTTTTCTTAAAATGACAGTAAATTATATTGCTAATTAATAAATTATCTCCCCTTTCTAACAGTTTTGTATTGAATTCAGATCCCTTTTTACATTTTTACTCAAGGGAGGTATACATAATCTGCATATCTTTTAATTGCATCACAAAAACTCATTTAATAAAACCTTTCGGGTTTCCTTTAATACAGATACCATAATTATATCCTGCTTGGTTCTTCAAATATAATAGAAATACTTGTTCACTGTAAGACTGGTGTTTGGAATATTTTTGGAACAAAATATTGCTAAATAAATTCATCCTATATCTGTCTTTAAGATAAATATAGAATATGTTCCATGCTATAACATTATCTATCATTGAAACATGTAATAAAGGACAGCTTATAGTATTATTTAAAGTAGAACAAATAATTTACATTTTTTTAGATACATGTGCTCTTGAAGTTATACTGTCATTTTGAAATTAGTGAATATAAGTCAGTACGCAAATCTATTTCTGTAGTAATTTTATATTTTTAAGCATTGATCAGAAGTTATATACTGAATATATCAAACAAGTATAATTTTACAATCTTTAATACATAGGAGATAACTCAATTCATGTGAAAATTGTTGGTTGATCAAAGTTTTAAAATGTTGTGTTTTCATGTTACATGATTAAATAAGGTGCCATTAAATTATTTCTAAAATGTTGTGTTTTCATGTAACATGATTTAATTGTTTCTAAAATGTTGTGTAATCATGTTACATGATTTAATACTTTACAATCATTACTTTTGTTTTCATCGTGTTTGTGTGCCTGCAAAAGAAATTTCCTACACACCGACAAAATTTATAGCAATTTTTTTCCCTGTTAAATAAGTTCTGGCCCATGCACTATACATATTAAAAAAAGATCTCGCCCATCCAAATATTTACACAAAAAAGTGCTTGCCCCGCCCCATTTTGTACCGGCCCATCCATCTGATAAATAATGAACGGTCCCTTAGTACATCCTTAAAAACAAATCCGAGAAAAGTAAGGCTTTGACCATTGAAACATCCTCTCCTAAGGATCCGCAGCTGCTTTGAATTTCTGTCTCGTCTTCCCAACTTTTCAGGATAAAGGGAACCGATGACCAAATTTGCATTTTAATGGAACAAAAGCAGTTTTTGTTTTGCATTTATGAATTTTAAAATGGTGCAAATAACAAAACGTGTGTACTTCCCCTTAAGTAGTAATCCACGAATCTCACATCCCTTTAATACAATATATCACCAGGTTAAACTTAGTTAGAAATGTTTTTCAGAGAAACTTTCAGCTTACTTGAAAAGTGATAGATTTAAAGAAGTCGTAAGTAATGAAACCAAAGAAGACATTAAAGCAATAGCACAGCAAGCTTTGAATGGTAAGGTATCTTATGTGATAATCAATTGTTTACCAAACGTACCACAAGATAACCTTTAGTATGACTTGTTAATTTTTCACACTTTTTCAATTCTTGAAATGTGCTATCTGACATTTTTTGGGAGCCGAGACATAACGGTTATTTGTATTGTGGTCCTGTCATGTGATGTTGTCGTTTTGGTGTTGTGTTTGACGTTGCCATTAAAGCGGGAGGTTAGGCATGCCACAAAACCAGGTTCAACCCACCATTTTTTTCTTAAAATGTCCTGTACCAAGTCAGGAAAATGGCCATTGTTATATTATAGTTCGTTTCTGTGTGTCTTACATTTTTAATGTTGTGTTTTTGTTGTGTCGTTGTTCTCCTCTTATATTTGATGCGTTTCCCTCAGTTTTAGTTTGTAACCCGGATTTGTTTTTATCTCTATCGATTTATGAGTTTCGAACAGCGGTATACTACTGTTGCCTTTATTTATAACATTTTACGACTCATTATGCAAATGTTTGCACAACCCGCACGAGCTACAGAAATGAAAGATTTTGTTTAACTATCCCCTTGCATATATTTTTTGTAACGACGGCAATGTCAAGGTTCTTTTTTGCTTTTCAGTCTTTCTCATTACCATTTTCCTTTTATAATATATGTAAACGTAAGCGTGTAATAAACAGATAATATATTATATGGCTTTTTCATATAACATCCGTATCAACCTGCAATATAATCATAAGAGCTCTGCTCGATGGATTATATTAGTTGACGGTTGATACGTTGTGTGATATTGCATATAATATGCACTTTATTATAAATCTTAAGTAGATGTTTTTCGTATAAGTCGTGCCATGCCGTAATACAGATTAGGGGTTTGATAAAGCCTTTGCAACCTTGACTGATATCGATATCATCTCAGATGGCTGATGCAGCACTATTGCCATTGACTGTATTGCACATTCATTTTACTTGTATTTACTTCTCAATATATAATAACATATCATATTGCAGTAGTGCAGTTTTAGCTTCAAATTAGTGACGTCATCAGTGATAAAAAATATTTTAAACAGTGTTCCAGCTTTGCTATATACAATAAAGGGTTCTTGCATGAATTTTTGTGAATATTATTCATCGTAGACTTTATATTACACTCGCAAGTTAGTGAGATATTAAAATTAACTAAATTCAGTCTTAAATTGTAATATTTGTATGACGACGAAGATTTTCAACATTTTGAATGAGAAGATAATAAATTATTAGTCTATGTTTAATTTTCTCTAGTCACATTTAAAGTCCCGTATGTGAGAATGGCAATATTAACGGTCCTGTACTCCTTTTTTTTTCATTTTTACATTTTCTTTTTTCTCTCTATTTAAAGATATATTTAAGCCTTATGCTTACAGTTGGGAATTTAAACAAGATCTGAAGAGAATGTCGGCTTTTATTACCAAAGGTGAACTTACTTAAAGATTTCTGTTTTTCTTTCTTGTTGATTAAAGAAAAATACAAAAAAAATAATATTTATGTAATAAACATCGATCGCAGTAGAAATATGGGATTAATAGATCACAATAACAATATTCATTTAATAGATTCCAACAGCTATATGCTATGAATGGAATACGATTACCATATACAATGAATAGGTCACAATAACCAATTACAATCACAATTACTAAGTACAATGAATAATTTTGATCACAATAGCAATATGAAATAAATGCATCGAAAAAAATATACAATAAATGGATCACAATAGTCATATACAATTAATGGATCACAATAGCCATATACAATGAATGGATCACTAAAGCCATATGCAATTAATTATGGATCACAATAGCCGTATACAATAAATAGACCACAAAAGCCATATACAAAAAGTGCATCAAAATAGCCAAGATAAACTATGTACAATGAATGAATCACTATAACCATATCCAATCAACTGATCACAATAACCAATTACAAAGAAAGGTTCACAATTACTATGTTCAATGAATAATTTTGATCACAATAGCAATATGAAATAAATGCATTGAAAAAAATATACAATAAATGGATCACAATAGTCATATACAATTAAGGGATCACAATAGCCATATACAATGAATGGATCACTAAAGCCATATGCAATTAATTATGGATCACAATAGCCATATACAATAAATAGACCACATAAGCCATATACAAAAAGTGCATCAAAATAGCCAAGATAAGCCATATGCAATAAATGAATCGTAATCGTCACATACAATAAATGGATCACAATAGCCAGGTACAATAAATGAAACACAATAGCCATATGCAATAAATGGATCACAATCAAAATATACAAATGCAGCATTAAATGTAAAGGATATATGCGATTATGATATAGACATTTGTCTTTTGTAGAAAACAATATCATTGACCCTATGTGTATTGTGTATTCGTTGAATGAATCACTGTATCATTGACGTATATACTTTACAATCTTTTAATTGAATTCATTTGTATTACTTTTTTTATATAGAATCTTAATTACGACCAGCATTTTTCGTCTCTATTATGGCGAACTCTTATACACTGACTGGTATAGATGATGTGGTAAAGTTTGATGATATCAAGGTAAACATAGGTGGTGGATATGACAAGTCAACTGGTGTCTTCACTGCAGGAAGAAAAGGACTATATCAAATATCTTGTACCATTCTTGGAGATAATGGACATGTTGTACACTACATGCTAGCTAAAAACGATGCAGAATATATTAAGGGATATTCAACAAGAGGAACGCATACATCGAGCACTATAAATGCAGTTATTACAATGCATAAAGGCGACCGTGTTTATATCAAACACCGAGCTGTTCACACGTCGCAGAACATTAACGGTTTAAATCATTCATCTTTTTCTGGTCATTTTCTGCAGGACTTATAATCTAACTTTCCATCGACATCATTTTCATCGTATGTTTATGTAGACTTTGGCGGTATGGTTATAAATCAAAGGGCACATGTATTTTATTAAACCTCTTAAAATGAAGATAGGGACAACGAATGTAAGCCTTTTTTAAATGATAAAAGTAAAAGAATGTCTCATTACTTGGTCAAAATTTTACTATATTTTATTACAAATAAGACATAATGAGTGAAACTTTTATTCCGCCTGCAACATTTAATATAAAGTTGTATTGTTTCCAGCTTTTAAGACAATAACATAAATTCATAAAGCTAACAAGTTTAGAGGTTGATCTTAAATGTTTTTATGTGTCAACTTGTGTTTTTTTTTTTGAATTATCTATTATACCGTTATTAGAGAGTAAAATTGCTTCGTCTGTACTGATTTTTGTTGTATGTTGTGTTGTTGGCCAACTGATCGAGATTAAACACAGGTAACGTTTAAAATTAAAAAAAAATGAATTAACCTCACTGCATATGCATGTGCCTGCCCCAAGTCAGGAACATCGTCAGTTGTTATTTGATGTCGTATTTTATTTTTTAATTGGAGAAATTTGTGTTAAAGGTATTTCTGTTATTTGAATAACAACTTTCATATCCCTGGAATATTTAATGCTAAACAAATTGTAAAGACATCTGTCTTATGTTGAAGACTGTTTGTTGCCGTCTATTTTTTTATCCGTTGGGGGGATGTCCCATTGACGCTAAAACCTTATCCTTTTATTCACCTTTACAAATACCTGAACATGTTTAGCATGTTGACAAAACAAATATATATATATAGATCTATCTGTAGAATTTCGTATATTTTTCAAGACACTCTGAATTGTTAGTTCTGTCTTTTCCTCTATATTTCAATGTTTCTTTTAACTTCCTGCTACAAAATTTAGGTTGCTGTTTTTTCAATTTAATCACACTCAAAATCTAAGATAGATTTAATCTACCAAATTATATCTCTCTTATTCGACCTCATGCTATGGAAGTATTATATTTACTGCTTCCATGCTCATACAAAGGTTTGACTTTTTCGCCTCTTACAAAAGAATCCCTCATTCTTAAGTTGATGACAGATCGGACTTATTATCATCCTTTATTTGGATATTTTACTATGATTCATAAAAAAGAATAAACAACGTATACATAAAATATCTTGTATTAGGAAGGAACTTCGTTGAAAAAAAAACCAAAACGCTCCGATTTTTACAAATCAAAATCTGAAACTTGCATCTTTAAATGCATTTTTTAATGACATATTTTATTGCGTCCCGGCATTCTTATGGTAACAAAGAGTTCCTATTTTGAGCGACTTGTTTCTTTAATCGCAAGAGACAGTCTTTATAAGAAAAGATTAGAATTAACTATTAACTTTGAATTTCTCTTGTCGATGATTTTCTGTTACTGCATAGTTCAAAGTCTGATAACTATTTAATTGTCTATACATCCTGTTGAACTTTAAATAAAAGTTTACCACAAATGAAGCTACCTTCACCATTAGACTTGGTTGATCTTTATGGAATACATGATATTATTCACGAGTGACATAAGATACATTCCATTTGTTGTAAAGCAACATCCAATCTGAGTTTTGTTCTAAGCTTTCGACGGGTTCCACAAGTGGAGCATTAATAACTAACTCATCCGTGGTACACGAGTTAGTCGGTGTTTTAGGGGGTTCTTGCTGTTCAATCGTTAATCTTCTGTACTTTGTTGAGTGGTCCGTTGTTTTATCTCTTGTCTCGTTTTTTGTCTTTACGGTAAGTGTCGTTTGTTAAAATGATTTTTCTAAACTTTTAGGTATAAGCTTATTGTTTTAGATAAGAAATTCAACGGAGGCATTAATGTTATTTGTTGTAATTGCAACATAATTTCTTAATAATTTTCATTATTTTATATATTTCTACTTTTACATTCTTGATTTTGACAACCTACATAGAGATAATATTGTCTTCGTGTAGATAACATATATGAAGTTTGATGGTGACTTTTCCGTTTCAACAAAAGTTTTTGGGTGGATCTCAGCTTGAAATTTTACCCTGAATATGATAATCCGTAGTATGTATCACCTAAGATATATAGAGATTGCAAAATTAATACAGATAGACAAGTGAATGCAAAATTTTATATTTATATATTAAATAAGATTTAAAGTTATGCATACTAGTACTATTTTCTATCTGTATGAATTTGGGAAAGTTGACATAGGACGCTTTCGATTATTCTGTTTTCATATAGGGCCCTTGAATTTGTTCAAAAACCTTTAGTTTTCATTGTTCTCTCTTCAAAAAACAAGGATCCGACATACTGAAATCAATATCATATATCATAATGCATTGACATGGCATTATCGATGAGGGCGCAAGACATTTGGCCTAATCATAACCTAGACCATGGAATCATTTAGGCTTAAACGTTTAGAGTCAAGTTAACATTTCGACTAATTTTATTTTTTTTACCTGTAATGGTGTATTACGGATAAAAAGTATCGATATAAATACTAGTATTTGATATAAGATATGTATTAAAATACGGTCATTTGAAAAGCATGCTAGTTTGAAAAGAAAAGAACTTGAAATGTTAGACCAGTTAATGGAAATGAGTTTAAAGTTGAGATCAAGCAGTATCCTAAGATTACAGTTTTGAAGGCTGTTAGCTTTAAATTCAGAGAGCAATCAATTTTTGAGAACGATAAACTGAATGTACTTTTATATCTGTATACCGAACTTATATTAATATTTATATACACTCCCGGCACTCCGGCTGATTTTCCTTTATAAAGGTTATGCAATCGCGTTTATAATATTTTGCATTTTTGTCAGTGGTCACATTGATAAAAAGTAAATTAACAAAAATACCGAATTCCAAGGAAAAGTCCTCCTTTAAATGCACGCATTAGTTTTCGAATTTACAGTTGTTTTAAGTTTTCTGCATATAGTTTTGAGACCAGTGTTTGTCTTTTCGTCGGTTTTTATCTTCGGCTTATTAATTTTGATGGTCCCTTGTGTATGTGCCGCCTCATTTTGTTTTGTCAAATGAGCCCTAATACGGATTAATCAGCATACACAATGCTGATAGGATTTCCCTGTTGGTATTATAAATAATGAAGCCAATTGGATAATACAGCAAACGTCACATCCGGTTGCAAAATGTAATACACCTGGCAAAAATTTGAACTATTTTGATGCATACGATATATGTGACTTTAAAGGACATGAAAAAGTCGAAGTGATATTCCGTATATTGTGAAAATTTCTAAGTTCTTTGCACAGATGGCAAGAATAATAAGAATGATTAAAAGTCAGATTTATTCTTCCCATGAAAGAAGACAGTCGGACAGTAACAAAGCGACAATTAGGATCCATAAGTCGAAAATAAATCGACAAAAAGACAATAACAGTCAAAACACCGCATAGAAAACAACAAATAGAACAACACGGACTTCCATTTACTTTATAAAATAAATTAGATTCAGTTCTTTGACGGATAATCAGAAATCGTAGCAATATTGACCAAA